ACAACGCGTTAGTATAATTTTTTAAAAATGTTTGGCTATGTAAAAATAAAAATAAAAAAAAAGAAAACGCGTCACATTGATGGAGGGGCAGACCGTTGCTGGCGCAAACAAATGACACAAGTTTGATGACACTGAAACAAATGACACAAGTTTGATGACACATAGAGCTGGACAAGCTCATAGTGACAGGGGAAACAGTGTGTGATATGTCTGTTCTGTGGAGAGGTCCGGTTTCTTAACACAGTCTCTCTGTGTGTATGTATGTGTGTGTATGTGTGAGTGTGTGTGTATGTGTGAGTATGTGTGTATGTATGTGTGTGTGTATATATGTGTGAATGTGTATGTATGTGTGTGTATGTGTGTACATGTGTGAATGTGTATGTGTGTTTGTGAGTGAGGGGTTAAGCAAATGATTAATGGGTGGGGAGTGGGGAACCAACGTATTGAGCAAACATACAATATCCGGTGCCTCTCAATAGGCCAGACAGCTGATACACGTATACCAGGATTATGGGCGTGTCGACCTTCTTAGGTGGCTTGCCCGAGAGTGGGGCAAAGGGGGGGGGGGGTGGAAGAAGGACTCACGCTTACATCGTGCTCCCCTCCCCACCCACATAAACACCAGAACTCACACACTCCTCCACCCTACAACCCTCACCAGACACCCCCCCCCACCAAATCAGCATCACTCATAATCCCCCCACCCCACCCCCACACACACATATATACAATATACGCACTAGCATGAACCTCACTACCACTAATCCTATATAAACATACACCACTGGAGTACTGAGACAGGTTTAGTTTGGGCGAACAACCAGGAACTACAATCTCTGTGTACTAAATGACGACAAACATTCGCCAAAGTTAAGAGAGTCATCTCGGTGGACTGGTATAAAACTATACTGTTAGCATATGAACCTCGGATACAGTTGTAGAAATATACCTCAAGAATTACTTTGATATGAGTAACCTTTAAGAGTAAAAGTATACTTTGGAGCTCGCTTAACCGACGACAGATGATACCCACGACAGTAAATCAATGATGCAAAAGCTTGATTTACTTCATCTATTCAAAGTGAAAAATCACAGGATGAATTCTATAACCACATCGTCTATCCTACAACACACAGTTAGACCCCACGAAATAAAGTTTATAAAGATGGTGGTATTTGTTTTATTTCGATAAACACATTTTTTTAGAAATCGATATAAATGTACTCAATGCAATCAATTTTTTAAAAGAAAAAGTTAAAAAAAAAACGAGTACAAAAAATGAAACTGTCATTGATACGTCCTGAGGTTAGGAGAAACCGACAGTGCCTTGAATGAATACCAGGTAACACTGAAGTGTTAAGCGACAAAAATTAAAGAACAGAAGCTAGGTCGCCAAAAGACCGTTCACATAGCGTTCACAGTGGCTGGTATTAGCTTAGCACACGAACAAGGAAACAAGAGAAATACATTGTGAAATAAGTGCTAGGTGGAAATTCCGAAAAAAAAAATAAACAACAACAACACAAAACGCGAAAAAACAATCAACAAACAGGTGGATAGACATAAAGATACAAAAATAAAGGTGAGTACCAGGAAGGACAAGAAAGAAGTAGACCTAGCTTTGGGAAGTCGCTCAATACCAAGTTATACTGATGATCCGGTGTTCCTTACACAAAAGCTATCCGCGAAAACAAATGCCATGGTGGTGATACGCCTAATTTTAATTTTGTATTTTGCTGCACACAGTAACGATTGTAACTTTTTCCTGCATTGGAGTGTATTTATTTTAGTACAACGAACAAAGGGAAATGCCACCAGTTACCACACCATCTGACACCAGTTGATACATTAGGTACTTTAGAAACGATGAATCACCGTTCACCTTTTTGTTGTAGGCCATCACTCGTCATTCAGTGAATGAGAGAAGGTGAGACAGGAGTGAATGAGCAAGGCGAGTGTGTGTAGGGGCAAGTATGTGTGTGTGTAGGGGCGAGTATGTGTGTGTATGTGTAGGGGCGAGTATGTGTGTGAATGGGTAGGGGAGAGTATGTGTGTGTGTGTGTGCATGCATGTGTAGAGGCGAGTATGTGTGTGTATGTGTAGGGATGGGTATGTGCGTGTGTGTATGTGAGAGCGAGACAGATAGTGAGAAAGAAAAAACCAAACATAATACATATGTCACCAATATTCTATTCAGTTGAGTCAGCCACTAGCCCTGTATTCTACATCTACCTCCCCTTATCCCCCCCCCCCCTCCCTCACACACAATGTGATGTGTTCACAGATAAAGTTTCACTGGGGCGGTGTACAACAGATGTTAACGTTATTGATATTCATACGCCCCCCCCCCCCAACCTATACGTGAACACACCAATGTTTTACAACAAATTTGTAGCTATCTTGATACTACTCACAGTGTCAACACCACACAAGAACGTCATAGGTTCGGCTAAGGCAGAAAGGGGATGGGACATTTTCCCCCTCATCCAATAGGGCAGGGGTCGGCAACCTGCGGCTCGCGAGCCGCATGCGGCTCTTTTGATATCAAGATGCGGCTCTCCAGCTCCTTGCACAAATACTAATAATCTTAATCAAAAAATAAAATATTTGAAATAAAAAAAATTTAGTGGCTCTTTAAAACCACGGAAATGTTGAAAATTGTAACTTTTGGCTCTTCCGCTTCAAAAGGTTGCCGACCCCTGCAATAGGGCTCTATTAACCCCTACAAAAAAAAAACATCAAGTAGCACAGCTGACGATTGCTGTTCAATGTTCGCTTTATTTTTAGCCTGCTGTATACCCATGGCTTGACCACACAAATGGACCAATAAACATCACATAGGTGTTGTTTATTTGAGCTGAGGATATTCATCTTTAATCAATGCCCTCCTGATTATTTTTTTTAATGATCGCGTTTTGTTATAAATTTAGATCAAATCGTATTAAAAAGAACTCTACTTCTTTACAATCGCAATAAATACGAGTTTAAACATGGGGTGATATAGAGCATGCGTCATTCATATTTTCGCACAATAAAAACGTTGACAACAATATTACCAAATCTCAAGTAATATGAAACTATTAATAATATTAAATTATATTAAATTTTCAGATATTTTTGTTACAATTAAAATGTTTAAAAAATTCAGCCCTTGCTGATGACTTTATGCTAAGGCGAACTCCGCATGAAAAGATCATCTAGTTTTGCCAGGTGATTGACGAAGCAACTATATTTAGCAGAGCTGGCTTCTCATCGATTAGCCGTACCTCGCCAGGTCTAAACTCGTATGACGGGAGACATGGGCCGATATCAACAAACAGGGTTAGGTTGGGGGGGGGGGGGGGAGGTATTGGGAGAGGTCGTCTATAAATGACGTCTCGCACCTGGGAGGGAGGGAACATTCTGACGTGTGACATTGGGGAAAGGGGGGGGGGGAGAATACTGACATTTGAAAAGTGATATAGTGCACATTTTGTACTCCATATCTTTAAAAATATGTTTCAAAAGAATTTAAATTTAATTACTCAATTAAAATCGGTTAAAAAAAAACTGTCTCAAAAGTTGTATCGTAAGCAGCATAGTTTATTTAAAAAAAAAAACTTGAAGAGACATTTTTTAGTATTATTATCGATAAACCGATCGTTAAACTGTGATCTAATCAAAGTAAAGCTTTATCCATTGGGTCATACAGCGGAAGGAAGATTACGATTTGATTATAAAATGTGCTATTGTGACACTGAAGGGAAGGTAAACAAAACTCATTTGACCCGTTCATAATGGGAACATCTGCAGAGTAATATGAGGGCAGTGGCGGCAGAAGGTGGAGGGGGGGGGGGGGGGAAAGAGGGATAGCGGACGGATCGCACTTGGGAGTGACACAAAACCGAACGAAAAATAGTAAAAGTTTAACGAAAAAGTCTGGTTTTCCCCGTAAATTACTAATGAAAATTTATAAATTAATAGGCAAAGGGTAACACCAAATTGCCTATAGTTAGATTACATCGTTGGTGGACGGGGTACACTCTGGGTAACAGCATCAGATGACACCCGAGCTGGTGAGGCCACTGTACGAAGGCAAATGTCCCTTCTGTTAAGTTTCTTCCCGGCTTGGTTAGACAGCTCCACCATACGGAATTTACACATTAATAAAAAAAAAAGTGTGAGAGAAGCAGATTTTAGATAGTACTATGTCTATGGGTGGGATGGATGGGGGTCGGATGTACACAGTTACAGGTGGGAGATGGACAGAGAACGAAATGGAATTTATTTAGAAAATATATACCTTTAACAGTGTCCGTATCCCCGGAAATTTGAGTGCCTCCCCCCCCCCGATAAAAAAGTCTGGAAGAAACACTGGAGATGGACGAGCTTTGTGGGTGACGATCTTGGGAGGGGTTAAAATAGCGCGCAGTCCCTTTGGGGACAGCTACTGATGAGTAGTCGGGATAAGATTTGAAACAGGGCTAAATTGTAACTTTTCATAACTTTAGAGATGAGGGGCTCGGTAAACTCAACATACAGACAATAAGAAGGGTCTAAGTTCGTTTCTAATTGAACACTAAAATAAGTTGCCAAACATTTTTATAGCTAAACGCACGCAAACCGTACCAACAATCTAGCCTGTATGCTTGCGAACTTTTTTATTCCCACCACGATTTTCTTTTAAATACCAATTATATTTTGAAAAACACAACCCTACAAATCAAATATTTTTGGTTTTCATGCCAAACACCCTCCCCCAATCAAAAAGTAACAAACGCCTATGACCGGTGCGTTCACAAATCGAATACAAGTATCGTTTGCGAACAAACTGACGGCGGCGATGGACGCCTATCAGGATGATACTTCACAAGATTTTATAAAGGTGTAGTCCTATGCATATAAAGCTAACGCAAGAATACTCAAACTGTGTGTCTGCATTTTAGCAACATTTGAAGTTCCTTATATTAGAATGTACAGTAGTTGAAATCGATTTTCTAGGGAATATTTTTTCTCTTTACCCGAAAAAAAAATTTCCAATAAACGAATGATACACAAACTATTGATCACAATATATAGCTCCAATGATGTGGAAACCACGATCGTAGAGGCGAAAACAGCAAGAGACTAAGAGGTTTTTTTAAAAATAAATGCTCAAGCACACGTGCTGGGGATTAGCGAAACAAAAATATGAGAGCTATAAATAAAATAATCAGAGGACAATAAACAAAGCAGGCCACGTAGCACGGAGACTGGGCTCTTTTTCTATGCGTGTAGGGGAAACAACTCCAGTCAAGGGAAACAACTCATGTGAAGGAAGCAATTCAGGTGAAGGGGAAGTAACGCATGGTTTTAAATCATGAACCTGAAAATACTGGAATGGGAAGGGTCGGATGTATCTCTCAAGTTTCAGTAGGGGTCGGATGTATCTGTCAAGCAGGGAGGCTTGTACCAAACAGGCAAATCAATAACTAATGTAATCAATAATAATAAGTCATAAATAATAAGGTTAATTTTTAAAAGTTCAGCATTTGAACTGTGCTTGAAAAACTAAACTCATGTGATTGGCATTAACATTATCCTGCAGTGACGCCATTACTTCTTTACAACAATAGAGTATTAAAAAAATCTCAAATTAAAAACATTTTTGTCATGTAGATTGGAATTTTAGACATCTTTAAATTTCACATATATTAAAGACTGTTGTACTTTTTAATTCATGTAAACAAGCCAAAAATGGATATCTCTCACCCCTCCCCACAACCACTTAAACAAAAAAAACGTACATTAATGTATTGGGAAGGGGCATGTTTTTCACACGGAGTTACAAGAAGAGTTACAAATGCTGCAATGCTGCAACTGAGAATATTTTACTTTAAAACACTATTAGTAGCTTGTGAAGGACGATTTTCCTTACTACCCTCACTTTCCAACTCTTTCCCCCTCCCCACCTGCGGTGAAAGCAGTCTTCCGTGATGACAGTTTACAGATGACAATGAAAAGATCAAGCAGAACTTGTTATTACCTCCCCTTAGTTTTAAATCATTTAAAAACTATATTTTCTGCCCCTAATAGCCATCACTAATTCGACTCCGCTCTACGATTGTAAACAGCTCACCAGACGGGTGGGGGTGGTAGCCATATGGTCTGTTGAGTATGCCTGGAGAGAAAGGGAGTGGGTGGGCGGGCGTGCTTACGTGGTGGTGTCCTGCATGGTCCCTCCATGAAGAGAATTATATATATAGATGTATAAAAGTAAACATCATATAACTATACCACTAGATACTAAAAAACTGTTAGCTGATTTCAGATGTATTAATGAATCTTTTTTATACAAATGGCCTTGAGTAAATTATTGAACCAACTGTTGTCTATTTTAATTTGTTTATTATTTTACATATTGCACAATATTAATAGAAATGTTTAGGCCTACTTTTTAATTTGTAGTTGTTTTTTTAAATTCATTTAAACATTTAAAATAGTAATAAAAATTAGCAGATTACATACTCTTCAAGCTTCATTTAAAGGAGAACTTTTATAAATATAAAAGATGCACACAAAAATTCAGAAAATAGGTAATTTAAAAAAAGTATTTTGCCTATTAGAATTATAGCCATTGCTATCTAGGTGTGAATAGAGGTAATTACCAAATAAAACATTAATAATGTTGATAATTAACTGACAAGAAAGATTTGAATTATAAAAAAAAAGGTGTAAAAAATATACATGAAAAGGGAAAGGTCAAATATAAATTGGTAATGATTCAAGAAATAGGTTTTCTTACAAGCGAAAACATTGAAAAAGAGAAGTTATCTTCCTTTGACCTTTGGTACTCAGCAAATTTAAATTAATTAATTAACAGCTGTAGATTAGATGTGTTGACTTTATATTTTATTGACTATTCGTTTAATTAATTTTTATTGTATATTATTCAAAGTTGCTTATGCTAATGCTGCTGGTATTGTCATTTATTGCACTTTTAAATAAAAATAAAACAAACTATTTTTATAAGCTAATAGAGCATTTAACATATTTAAATTTGTCAAAAACATCCTCCTAATACCCCTAAACAAACCTGTTAAAATCCCTAAAAATTTTTGTGCTGTAAAATAAATACTCTTACAAGCCATTACAATAATTTAAAGAAAAATATCTGAGAATTTTGAGAATTTT